ATATATATATATATATATAGTAAAGGACTAATAGATCTTCCTAGCTTCGAATTGAACAGAATGAGTGGAAAAATATGGAACAACACTTGAAAATATACAAGCTTACTGGTCTGATTAGAGACTGGTGAATCCCTCAAAACTATGACCCTTAATAACCCTTCAAACCTGAAAAAAAGTCAGGAAAGGTGTGGTTATTTTGTTGGTAATAACATAAGACAAAATTTATATAAAAAAGAACAGTCAATTAAAAATAAGAATAAATAAAATAGAGAAGCGCTAATTCTGACCTCAGGGGTTTGACTTAAGCAACTGCTTATATGTAGACAGGACAAAGATGATTAGTTTTTCAGTGTAAATGAAATTGTTGGGGTTTAAATTTACAATACTGAAATCCCTTTGATATACACAAGTAGAGATATTATTAAGGCACTTATGTACACACTATTGAAGTTTAAAAAAATGAAGTCAGAGAAGTAAATAAATTTTGGTGTCATCTATACAAACTGTACTTAAAATTATAAAGTTAAGGATAAGAATGAGGGCTGTTATATGTAGGGTCAACAACTGTTTACTGGTCTCTTCTGAGATGCAGAATTTCAATGCTAAAACTAGCAAAATCCCCATCCATTTGTGGTGAATTAGTCATACTACAGGTAGCTCTGATGAAGAGTTATCCAGAAACCCCCATTAACCCAAGCCAGACAAAAGAACCTGTCACTGCTTTTCCCAAAAAAGTCAAGTCTTCCACATAAACTGAACTGAGGAGTGAGGGGAGGGGAGAAAACATGGGAAATTAGGATAGAGAGAAAATACCTAACAAAAGACAAGAGCCCAATATTTGAGGGGAGGGGGAATAAATCCTGAATTTTCATTCATTCATTTCAGTATTTTTCCTTCAAGTAGAGAGAATATGCTAAATATTTAAATGTCCCTAGATTTAGGAACTCACAAAATTTTCCATCCAAAAAAACCATTAGAGGTATTACTGTTACAGTTAAAAGGCATACAGATACCCCAAGAGTTGATTAAAAAGTAAGTTACATTCTCTGGTCAGAATACAGGTAATTCTCCCTTCCTGTTTGTAACTGACAGTCTTTTTTTTTCCTTTTTCCCTTCCTGTAGGGCTAGAGAAATTAATACAAATCTATGTCGATACCATCAGCAGTGGGAAACTGCCATGCATGGAGAACGCAGTCCTGGCCTTGGCTAAAACAGAGAACTTGGTTGCAGTGGAAAAGGCCATTGCCCATTATGACCAGCAGATGGGCCAGAAGGTACAGCTGCCCACAGAAACCCTTCGGGAACTGCTGAACCAGCATAGAAACTGTGAGAAAGAGGCCATCGAGGTCTTCATGAAGAACTCCTTCAAGGATGTGAACCAAAAGTTTCAGAAGGAATTAGAGGTATAATATAATTGTTATCCTCCACAGTATGACAACACTTTTCATAAAAATTGTTTTAGATATTTCCTTTCTTCTGAATGCTATAAATTAAACAAAACTATGAATTATTTAAACTGTATTATAAAGGATTCTTTCATTTTTTTATCTTTTCAAAATAGTCAAAATCACATTCTTTTTTTATTTTAGCAAGTTAGGTTAAATGTTTTCAAAATTCTAATAATTTCTCTTTCTTTTTTAAAATTTTACTTTATTAATTTTAATGAACATTTACAGAGATTTTAGATTTCCATTCATTCATTGTTGCATTTTTCTCCCTGCGGAGCCCTTCCCCCAAGTTCACTCCTCTCTTTGAAAAGTAAAATAAAAATTCTTTCATTGGTATACAATCCTCCCGCACCCCCCTCCCCACCGCCCTGAGTACACTCCTCTATGCAACCTTAATTCTGGACTCTTGTGATAACCATTAATACCCAATCACATATAACTTTTAAACTGTTCTCTCACTCATCTATTTCAATGCAGTATACATTTATCCAGTTTTTCTCAGTCTTACCCCAACCCTGATGTCAGTCTCATTCTACAACATTGGCACCATGCAATATTTGTCATTTTGTGACTGAGATATTTTATTCAGCATAATGTCCTCCAGGGTCACCCATTTTGAATAATATTGCATGAGTTCCTTGTTTTTCAATGCACCAAAGTATTCCATTGTGTGAATATACCACAGCTTCTCTATCCATTCGTTTGTTGATGGGCACTTGGATTGTTTCCAACTTCTTGCAATTGTAAACAAAGCTGTGATAAACATGGGTGTCCATATATATGCTTGGATGTCGGTTATGGTATCTTTAGGGTATATTCCCAGTAGCGGAATTTCTGGGTCAAATGGTCTATTTGCCACTTTTTGAGAAAGCACCACACCATTTTCCACAGTGGTTGCACCATTTTACAATTCCCACCAACAGTGAATAAGGGTTCCAGTTTCTCCACAACCTCACCAGCATTTGTTGCTTGCTGTTCCATTAAATTTTGCTACTCTGACTAGGGTGACATGATATCTCATAGTTGTTTTGATTTGCATCTCTCTTAGAGCTAGGGATTTTGGACATTTCTTCATGTGCTTGTTGGCCATCTGAATGTCTTCTTATCTGTTCATATCCTGTGCCCATTTTTCAATTGGTTTACTTACCTTGATCTCGTTGTGGTTCTCAAATATTTCATAAATTCTACATATAAGTCCCTTATCTGACATGTCATTGTTGTTGCTGTTGTGTGCCATCGACTCACAGCAAACCTATGTACAAGAACTCCAAATGCTGTTCTATCCTGTGCCAACCTAGCCATCTCAAATGCACTTATTCCCACCACTCCAGTCACAGAATCGATCCGTCTCATCAAAGGTCTTCCTCTCCTTTGCCACCCTTCCACTCTGCCAAACATGATGTCCCTCTCCAAGGATGAGTCCCTCCTTGCAAAATGCCCAAAGTATGTCAGATGAAGCTTCAGAATCCTTGACTCCAAGGAGCATTGCGGCTTCACCTTCCCCAGGACAAACCTGTTTGTTCTCCTAGCAGTCCATGGTATATTCAACACTCTTCTCCAGCACCACAGCTCAAAGGCATCAATTCTCTTTCTGTCAACCCTATTCACTGTCCACCTCTCCGACGCATAGCACGTAATTGCTAAGACGATAGCCCGGACAGGCACACCTTCGTTTCCAGGCTGACATCATTGCTCTTCAGTACTCTTGAGATGTCCCGCACAGCCGACTTTCCCAATGCAATTCATCCCTTGATTTCCTGGCTGCTGTTACCAAGAGTGTTGACTGTGGAGCCAAGTAAACTAAAACTGTTAACTATCTCAATCTCTTCACCATCCATACTGATGCTGCCAATTGGTCCAGTGGTGAGAATCTTTGTTTTCTTGATGCTAAGTTTCAATCCATATTGGAGGCTGCAGTTCTTGACCTTCTGCAGCAAGTGCTTCAGGGCCTCCTCAGTTTCAGCAAGCAGGGTTGTGTCATCTGCATAACGCAGGATGTTGGTGACTCTTCCACCAATTGTGATGCCACATTCCTCTTTGCACAGCCCAGCGTCTCAGATGATCTGTTCTGCATACAGATTGAAAAGGTATGGAGATAGAATACATCGCTGAAGGACCCTTTCTTGATTTTGAACCGTGTAGTGTCTCCTTGTTCTGTTCTGACGACTGCCTCATGGTCCAAGTATAGGTTTCATATTAGCACAATCAAATGTTCTGGGATTCCCATTCTTCTCAGAGTCAGCCATAGCTTGTTGTGATCCACACAGTCAAAAGCCTTTGCATAGTCAATGAAGTACAGATAGACATTCTTCTGGTAGTCTCTGCTTTCTGCCAAGATCCATCTGACACTAGCTGTAATATCCCTAGAACCACGACCTCTTCTAAATCCATCCTGCACATCTGGCAGTTCTCTGTTGACATATTGTTCCAAACATTTTTGGATAATTTTCAGCAAAATCTTGCTTGCGTGTGATATTAATGATATTGTTCGATAATTTCTGCACTCTGTTGGGTCACCTTTCTTTGGAATGGGAACAAATATCTATCTTTTCCAGTCAGCGGGCCAGCTGGTTGTTCTCCAGATTTCTTGGCATAACTTAGTGATCACATCCAGGGCAGTGTCTGTCTGTTGAAATATGTCAATTGGTATGCCGTCAACTCCTGGAGCCTTGTTTTTTGCCAATTCCTTCAGAGCAATTTGAACTTCCTCCTTCATCACCATATGTCACTTCATGAAATTCTTCTGTGTCAGCCAATTCCTTCTGATACACTGACTCTGTGTATTCCTTCCATCTTCTCTTGATACTTCCTGGATCATTTAACATTCTACCCAAAGTATCCTTAATTATTGCCACCCATGGTTTGAATTTGTTTTTCAGTTCCTTCAGCTTAAGAAATGCTGAGCAAGTTCATGATTTTCTGACTCCAGCTCTCTGCACATCTCATTATAGTATCTTGCTTTGTCGTCCTGGGCTGCCTTTTGAAATTTTCTGTTCAGCTCTTTGTTTTCTTGGTTTCTTCCTTTAGCTTTGGCTTCTCGGTGCTCTAATGCAATATTCAGAGTCTCTTCTGACATCCATCTTGGTCTTTTCTTCTTTTTCAGCCTTTGTAATGAGTTGGGTTTTTTATCTGGAGTGAGGTGTGGATCTTGCTTGAGTCTTCTGCAGATATTTTTCCAATTTTGCCAACACCATTTGTTTAAATACTGTCGTTTCCCTACTTGACTCATTTCATCTCCTTGTCAAAAACCAGTTGAATGATTTCTCTTTCAATATTGATGTCATTACTATTGTCGTTAGGTTGTATTGTGTGAATTCTGGTTCCCAGTAATCCCATGTAAAGCACAGCAAAACCCTGCCCCAAACTCTGCTATCCTTACAAAATCTATTGTTCTTTTTGATGTCACTTTTATGTGCATCAAGTTGGTTGTGACTCATAGGGACCCTATGTATAACAGCCCTGAAATCTGCTCTATCCTGAGAAAACTCTATTGTCTCTGACACACCTACCTCCATCACCCAGTCACTGAGTCAATCCATCTCTACAAGGTCTTCATCTCTTTAGCTGTCCTTTCACACTCCCAAGCATGGTGTTCCTCTCTAAGAACTGTTTCATCCTTGAAACATGTCCAAGTATGTCAGACCAAGCTTCAGAATCCTTGCCTCCAAGGAGTAGCCTGGTTTCCTCTCTCTAGGATGAACCTATTTGTTCTCCTAGCAGTCCGTGGTATATTTAATACTCTTACCAGCACCACAGCTCAGAGGCATCAATTCTCCTCCTATCATCCTTACTCATTATCCAGCTTTCTGATGTGTAGAAAGTAATTGTGTGAACATTTAATTGTGCTTATGCCAAAGCTATAATTGTACAAGGGGGCAGCAACAGAACAGAGCAAGGAAATTGCTTGGTTCAAAAACAGGAAAGATGTATGCCAGAGATGCATCCCATTTTTATATTTTTCCAATCTATATGTGGAATAGATCATCAAGAAATCTTGGTTCTGTGAGTTGGAATGTGGCATCCGGATTGGAGGAAGATACGTCTATAACATGCATTATACAGATGATACAACCTTGCTTGCTGAAACTGAGGAGGAGCTGAGCCATTTGCTGCAGATGGTCAAGTACTGAAGCCTTCAATACAGATTATAGCTCAATACCAAGAAAACAAAGATTCTCACCACTGGGCCAATCATCAGCATCATGATAGATGGTGAAGGGATTGAGATTGTTAACAGCTTGAGTTTGCTTGGCTCCATAATCACCACTCTTGGTACAGAGATAGGATGCATCCATAGCATACACCTTTATTGATTTTGAACTGTGCAGTGTTTCCTTGCTCTGTTCTGATGACTGCCTCTTGGTCCAAGTATAAGTTGTTGGTTTTGGGTTTGGTTTTTTGGGGTTTTTTTGCATAAGCACAATTATGTGTTCTGGGATTCCTGTTATTCTCAGAGTTAGTCACAGTTTGTTGTGATTCACACAGTCAAATGCCTTTGCACAATCAATAAAACACAGATAGACATTCCTCTGGTATCCTCTGCTTTCAGCCAAGATCCATCTAGCATTGACTATAACATTTCTACAGCCACGGCCTTTTCTAAACTTAGCCTACATATCTGGCAGTGTTCTGCTGATGTGCCTTTCCAGTAATTTTTAAATAATTTTCAGCATGATCTTGTTTGCATCTAATAATAATTATATTGTTTGATAATCTCCACACCCTATATGACCACCTTTTTTTTTCGGGAATGGAAACAAATATGAATCTCTTCCAGTCAATTGGCCCAGTGGTTATCCTCTAGATTTCTGGGCACAACTTGGTGAGCATGTCCAGGGGATTGTCTGTGTTGAAATATGTCAATTGAAATGGCATCAATTCCTGGTGCCCTGGTTTTTGCCAGTTCCTTCAAAGCAGCTTCAACTTCTTCCTTCATCACCATATGCTCTTCACTT